GGGAGTCGAACTCTAGGACTTCCCGATCAGAGGCACCACAAGTTGATGCTCTGAGGCACCTAACCCTGTCCCCCCTGTAACTAATACCCCCGGCATAATATCAACCGGCATTTCTTCAATCCATCGGTCAAGAAAACTGGCGCGAGTAATGGATGGCATGTGAAATTTATAGCACAGTAGAATAGCGGAAGGTTTTGGAGGAGTGCTCCACTTTCTTTTGCCTCCTCATCATTGATCAAATCACATTATTATGTTCCATCCCACACCCATTAAACCATTCAATACAGATTTAACTGAAAAGGTTTCGTGCGTAAATCGGCTGCAGTCGGATCACCCTGAGAAGTGTCGGTAGTGCGAAGTTGCTTCTGCGTCCGCCAACAGCCCGGAGTCCGGCTTCCCGGGTCTTCCGAGAGACCCCCTAAGTCCCCCCAACTCGGGCGTAAGGGGTCGCGCCGAAGTTCGGCGAAGCGTAACAAGAAAATTAGCGCACAGCCCCCGGACGACGCCTCTGAGACACACACCCCCTCCTCGTCCGCCCACGAGCGCGGCACAAGTCCGAGAACGCCATTTACAGCAACTGGCGACCCCCGCGCGTCATGGGGGGCACCGCTTCCGCCACCCCGCCACCGGCTCGCAGGCAGGTGGCCGCTCCGCCCTTCCAGAAATATTCGCTCTGTAGGACTCAAGACCTCTCCGCCCCGTTATTTGTTCCTAATACAGAGTTCGTGATTTATGAACCGCCGGTTCAACTAAGACGCCTGCGTCATAACAAATTTAGACGATAATTAAATAAAGTAATCTCGTTAAAACACAGTACTTGAAACTTGGCCTAACTGAGGTACTTCAAACTGGGAACAGTAATGGTAATTTATCTCGGAAATTACACTATGAACGACAAAAACTGGGCTTAAACTTGCAAGAAAGTGCACAAAGGGGATTGTCATTTGATGCGGTAGCAGAAACTCGGAACCGAGTTACACACACGACTATAAATCCGCGTGTGACGGAGAGGATGTGGATTTCGCACAGGCAACAATCTCAGTAATGAAGCGCTTGTTTACGTTTCGCCAGAGCTCTCGCGGGGGACGAAATTGCAAAGGAGCCATGTTTTCATAGTTGCTCGACAAGAAGGGGGGATTTGCGGAATAATTTGCAGCGAGAGGCGACATTCTTGGCAGCGTGTGTGGCAAGCGCGTGGGCGGCGTGCGGAAGAGCAACGGAGCTAATGCACGCGAGCGAGCGCCCCTGCGGCGTCACAGTAGGCAACCCGTCAAACGCTCGTGTCTGTCGGGTAACGCGCACGCAGGCGTTTCGTGTTAATGCTGCAGAGCCGGAAAGAGGCAATCCTCGTTACCCCTTTCGTTCGTGGCAATTGTTGATCCAATAGCAAAAATGTTATGAGTAGTTTCTTAAAATTTTGTTTCCAGCGACTGAACATGAACATATAATTGGAAGACATTTAATGTTCGTATCTACGTCTCTTGATGCAATTGGAGGACCATGAATAAATAAAAATGTTATAATTAAGTTTTGACAACATTCTGACAGCCTGAAATGTACAAAAGCATATCAGTGACGATTTAATACAAATTAGTCCGCAGAAACAACCGATGACGAGATATAACGGCTCATGTGCTTCGTCAGTTCAATTTAATCGCCGAATTTCAAAACGATTTCCTGATTGCGTCATGCTGAATTTTGGAGCGCTCAGAGAGATATAAACGTACTGTGAAGTTTAGTTACGACCAAATTTTAGTATTTATTTTATGTCAAAGTATATTCATCCAAATCACTGACATTTCCTCCTGCAAGCGTACGTTTATTTGGAAAGTAGATCCTGCAGTAATAAAACTAAAATATGTCTGGTCTTTAACGTCGATTCTAAATTCACGGTCTGAACTCCGAATTTCGAGACTACATTAACAACTGAATAACGTAATGTAAGAAAGAACTGTGCAAATAAGCTGTTAAAAACAAAAAAAGCAACAGAGATATACCGTACGTACAGGGGAAAGTATATCAATAGTAGTTCATGTCTGAGAATTACGTGGTACATGGTTAATTCATTTTACTCACTCTTTTCTATCTCGCACCCTAATAATCCTTTAACCCAAAGGTTTATGACAAAACAAAGAATGGTGGGGAAATGAAAGAGAAGTATGTGCAACTATAGCGCAAATGTAATTCCAAAATGATGTTTAATAACACTATGATAGACGGATAATTCTGAAATGTATTAGGAGAGATTACATGTTGGTATGAAATGCAGTACGCTAATGAAAACCGTAATCCTTTGAAAGCCACTAACTGCACACTAGCAAGTATGCTAATAAGTTAATTAAGTAAACAATACATGTAATGCGACATACGTACATTGACATACGTACATTCGACATTCGTATAATGAGATATACGACAATACGTAGTACAACGTTGTCAGAAAGAAAATCATACTAACTTTTTCTCCTGCATGATCACGAGTCAACGTATGAGTGGAATTAAATCGTTTTATCTTGAGAAATTACATTTGCGAGTGACAGTATTATTGATAACTATTACGCTTAAGAGAAGAATGCATAAATACAAATAGTACAGAAAAATCACAAGGACACAACGTTGGTTTATGAAACAAAAACTACGGCAAAAAAGGCTGTTCAGTCCAATCATAAGAGGCAAAAGGATGCATCAATTGTAAATGCAATCGTCTGTAAAACTAAATATTTAAAGAGTAACGCTAGGGCAGAATATCACACGCACAGTTTCATCATAACATCTTCACGTGCAAGCTAATAGAATGTTTAAATGCAATTTACTACGTTAGTCAGAAATTGGCTTCTATAAGTAATTTACACAACTTTATATCCGTATTTCATACGGCAAACACTAAATTCAAATGTTTGGATGCTCAAATACGTATAATTACGTGATATTTAGTCTCTACGACTGCCAATCTGTATTTTACAAACCGTTTTACAATTCCCTGTCATGTGTTGTATGACGTAACTGCGTTCTTATTAATAGTCAACAATGAAAACGTCTTATCTATGAAAAGTGAGCCTGTTAGAATAATTAAGTTTCGGATAAAGAAAACTAACCACGTCTCACTTTTCCTCAAACATTCACTATAGTGCGAAAAAACAACTCGCGTTACCCATCAATTAATTTCGGTTTTTCTTTACAAGCACTTACTACAAAAAATCTAGACAGCATCTTCGAACACATGGAGTTTTTAAATTTACTTAGAGGAGACAGCAATGTGAAGACTGCACAAAATAAATACTTATTTTGTATGGTGTATAAAATTTAAGTGTACTTAAAGGAATAATATCGTTTGTAAGGGAGGTGTTTGTTATTTTGTCCTTTCTCCATCTGGTTCAATGTTAAAGTTATTGAAAATTCCTATATTAAACCTTCTCATATTATGTGTTTTTCCAACTTTCTACTTAAGTATCTCGACCTCAATTACAGTGGAAAGAAATGTCATGATTATATCATTTAAAGTCTAACAGGGAGATGCGACTTTTTCGCAATTGCAACGAACAGTGGCGGCGGCGACGGCGGCGGGAGCGAAAGCGGCACGCAGACATATCGAGTGACCCGGCGCGCGAAGGGGGGTGGAGTGGGGGGAGGTGGACGGGAAAGGGCGCTCGAGGCCAAAGGTCACGCGGAAGGTCTAATTGCCTCCGAGAGGCGTCCATCTGCGCACGCACGCCAGTCCCTTTGCGGCGCGGCGGCCACGGCACGGGGGCCTTATTCCACACACGTCCGGCGGAGAAAGAAAAGGGGAAACTGTTCTGTCAGCAGTTTAACTAAACTGGAGGCAAGATCATCTGCCGATTAGAAAAGTACACAACCGAAAAACGGTTGGCCCGTATCCCAGATGCTACCAGCGGAAAGAGCTGATTTGCCACGAAGTGACTAACACACATGAGTGCAATGCCAATTGGGAATCCCGAGGTAGAATTAAATAAGAAGACAAGACAATAAAACACAATTAAACTAGTAAATTTGTTCGTCATCAGAATTCGCATTCATGCATTATATTTTACAACATGATAATATTAGTTACTGTACCCTGCAGAATCTTGCAAAATGCGAAATGAATCTTACAGCTGATTAAAGAAAGCCCATAGCTACAAATAGAATTGCGGATAACTTCTTCTGATAAACAGTAGTAAAAACTCAAAAGAATTAAAGTTGTAAAAGTGCAGCGTTGATAAAGGAACATTATCTTTCATTTACGTTCTGTAGAGAAACGAAGATGACGAAACAAAGTCGGTTTAAGTTTTTAATTGACCCGTGCTAGTACTTCGTTCACGCATGTAACCGTTTTGAAAATGGGACGCTGTATTTCAATGTTACGGATGATTGTTTAGACTACGGTGCCTTTTTCCACGAAGAGATACAGCGCACTAACAATCCTTCCTCCAGCAACCGCATATCATTGTGACTTTATGCTTTAATACCTAGGCAACCAGAATGAACATGAGGAAACTACCTAGCTTCATGGACTTCTCGCCCATGTAAAGTTGGGACAAGAACGTTGGCAATGATGATTAATTTGTTGAAAATTATGTATCGGTACCATACTTACTCCATTATACGGAATGTTTCAGAATAGAAGTTACACACTTGTAGAGCAAAAGGGAGGGTCGAGGTTTTTCTTTGTGTTATTTTTGTTGCTAATTACGTGCAAAAATGAAGTGACACATTTAACTTGCCCCTAACTCAACGTGCAGTAGTCGTGTACACATGAGTCAAAGAAATTTTGTGTGCGTGCGAAACCGCAGAACAAGGTGAGAAGCTTAACCGATAAGGAGCAAATGTTACGTGTGTATCTTCCCACACGTCCATTGACAAAACGTGATCATCTTCGACTCTACTTGCACCAGAACTTTGTTGAAAACTCAAGTGTTCGTGATTCGATGGTGTTCCGTCGAAACGAGTGTCTGAGCAGGTGTAGAAGTACCGTGCGCGTGTGGGTGGGTGGGTGGTCTCACCTTGGATATGAGCTCGTCGTGGTTGGCGAGGTGCGCCCGGCAGTGGATGCACGAGTAGGTGCGGTGGCAGTTGGGCAGGTAGGCCTGGAAGGTCTTCACCATGTGCTGGCGGGGGGCTGCCGCCTGGCGCGCTGCTAGGGCGGTGCGCCGGACGGCTGCGGGCGCATGGGCGGCTGCGCGCGGGGCAGGCGAGGCGGCGCGGCGGCCGCCGCGGAAGCGCGCGCGGCAGCGGCAGCGGATGCGGTGGCGGAGGCGGGGCGCGGCGAGTGCGCGCGCGCGGGGGTGCGCCTAGTGCCATACAGCCAGAGCCGCGTGCCAGATGCGCCGCTGCGCGCTCCACGGCAGCCGGAAGGGGGTGCAGCAGCCGCGCCTGCTCCCCGGCCGCGCGCGCTGCACACTGCTAAGCGCGCCCAGAGCGGCGTAGCCAATAACCCGTAATCCTCTTATCGATGTCTCGCTCTCTCTCTCTCACACACACACGCAATACTCACTCACACACAGAGAACACACTTCTCTCTCTCGCACACACAACACCTCTCATTCTCACACACACACACGCCACTCTCTCTCAGCCACACACACACTCTTCTCTCTCTTCCTACACACACACCGCTCTCGTCGTCGACCCATCACACCCTTCTCTCTCACACTCACACCTCCCTCTTCCCACAACACTCCCTCTCTTCCCACACACACACTGGTGCCTCTCTCGCTCACACACACACAACTCTCTCTCTCTCTCTCACATATGGCGGTGGGACGACAATCGGTGCGCTCTTCTCATCAGCGGTCGTAAGCACATCACTCCCTCCTCTCTCGATGCTACACACCACTGCCCGTCCGTGCGCACTTCACAAGACCTCCGCCTTCTCCTCAAAACACACACACTGCGCCTCTCTCACTCACGCACATCACGACTCCCTTCTCCTCACACATCACACACTCCCCTCTCTCACTCAACAGTACACAACCCCTCTTCTATCACACACACACACTCCCTCGTCCTCAGTGGGGGATCGAGATGGGTATGTGGGGCTGGAGCATCACAACGACTACGCCTCTACTATCGTCAGCAACCGAATCACAGCACACTCCCTCTCCCCACTCACAAACACGACACACTCTGCTCTCTCAATCTCACTTACTACACAAAACTCCTCGCTCGTCCACCGACAGCGCCACACTGACACTCACTCTCTCTCACTCAACTACACTCCTCGGTCACTCCTCCCATCACCATGCACACGCCTCTCTCTCACGTCGCAGCACACACGTCCTCCTCTCTCTCACTCACACACCCTCCCTCTCCCCCACACACACTCTCCGCCTCTCTGTCTCACACAACACAACACCCCCTCTCCCCTCACACACACAACTTCCATGCTCTCTTGCTCAGCTCACATC